TGGTTGCCCTGCAGGTCGCAGCCCTTGAGGTGGGCGATGAGTACCGGCCTCAACCGGGCCCGGAGGCTTCAAGGCGCCTTTTGAGGGGGAAAGTGGTGCAAATCGTTAAACGTAAGAGCGGCGTTACCGGCACTGGGTGTCGAGTCGGGGCTGCGCGGGCACCGCTTGGCCTGGAGGGGTATGGGGGGGCTCGCAGGGAGCGGCGCTGGCGGCTGGGCCCGGGCCAGGCCTTGACCCTGACCCCGACCCCGACCCCGGCCCGGGCCCCGCCAGCCCCAGTGGACCCTCTCCTCTCCCCTTAATTCTCATTTATCTCCTTAGAAGCCGCAGCGGGACGAGCGAGCTCTTCCCCGGAGGGGAGCAGCTGGCGTGCTCTGATCCCGACCGGCACCGGGATAAGCCGGGGGTCCGCCACATCACTCCTCCGCCCAAATGCCACACAGCAACGGCAGCCCCCATCCATCCCGCTGACCGAATTCCTTCTCCTGACCGAATTCCTGCCACCTTTAGGTCTTTCAGGCAAACAGTATTCCTTCCCAGCACCTTCCCGCTACTCTTGAATAAACTCTTTCTCAAAGTCGGTGGACACGACCCATCGAGGTCCGGTTTAACATCATTTTGATGAGCCGAGCCGAAGGGTTTCCCGTCGGGGAGAGCTTCGGTGGCATCTCTTGTCCTCGGGCGTTCAGCTCACTCGGGTTTTTTTCTCCTGTTAAACCTAATGCTTTGGTCAATCCCATCCTGGGGAGCAAAACGTATTTGATTTAGTAGCATTTGGCGTAGTTCCTCCGGCTTTTAGTTTACTGCCCCATGAGATGCTGTGAAACTAAGCAGGGTTCTGGAATTTGGTTGTGTGGAGTGGCTGCACATGTCTGGTTTGGGGAATTCGTAGGGAACAGAAAGGTTTGGGCATTGTCTGTGCATGCAGATATTATGAATGTTTTCTTCTGAGTCCGGCACTCTGGGTCTACTGAACCCACAAAGGCTCTGTTCTCCTATAATACAGGAATATAGGCTACGAAGAGATTGCTTCTATGTAACAAAAAGAGTAGACAAGTACACTTCTTCTCTGGCTTAGTTGTTTAATTCTGATTGAATTTCCTCTGTGGCTCTGTTAGGAGACAGATAAGTATGGAGACTCGGGTGCTGGTAGCTCACGCTGATAAATAGAAATTGATGTTCCGTGTCTGATCTTGCTACCATTAACAACCACTGCTATTAAGAGAGCTGACACGGCATCTGAAAACTGTATTTCCAGTAAAAGGGAATGGTCTGGCAGTTAAATCATGGGGCCTTTTACTCTTCATCATTCCAAAGATGTCAGCGAAGGCGCCAAAAACTTCTCTGTCCCTCTGACTCTTCCCTGGTAAAGACTGAATAATTTGCCTTTCTCTGGCTTTCTGTCTTTACCTCCATATTCTTTAAATTTGGTACAGGAGTGTAGTGACGCAGCACCTTAAAATATTCACTCCGGATGTTCTTAGCACCTTTAATTTATTAAAATAGACTTTAGGAACCTGATTCATCCTTAATTTATGCCCTCTTTGCTCCATCGCTGCCTATTTACACTCAATTACTAGGGAGTTTCATTCCTTGGCTCTCAAGTGCTGCCTTCAGAGAGCAAGGCAACAATTACACACGGAAGGTAGTTGTCTTTAATGTTGTGAAAATAATAGGTTTGGGGATTTTTTTGGTCAGGTATTACAAAACACAGGCTTTGCCTTGCATCCTGCACACGAAGGAGTCCCATCAGTTTCTGGATCAAACTCGCACCAACGACGGCAGTGTGTTTGTTAAATTGTTATAAGTCAGAGGTGAGGGAAACTTGACTTCTTGCCACATTGATGCAAGACAGCACCATTTTCAAACCTGTGAAATGATGAAATTGGGCGGTTTCATCTTGGTTGGCTTGATGATATTTTTATTGAAATGCTCCTTTTCCTCTCCCCGGTGTTCTCATCTTAGCGCTCGAAACGGTGCAGATGAATATCCCTCCCTGAGGATTACAGAGAGTTTGCACAAATTCCAACTACTAATATGCAAATAAAATGAACGAGCAAGACTCTTGTTGGCAACCTACAACAAATGTTCCAGGTCTACGTCGCTATTTATTCCTATTTTTATGAACACTTCTGAACAGAGTGTGCCTGAGCCTTCAGGAAGCAAACCTTGGCTGAGTCTGAGCAGAGCTGGTTGCGATCCACGACTGGATTTCAACACCCCTTAACGTCAAAGGTGCTTAGATTTACATCTCAGGTCCTCTGCGGATTCATCTTTAGCTTTAATGGGGAGGTTCTCCCGAACAAAACAACCTCTCTGATGACTTTTCACAGCTCCACTACAGCTTTTTTGGTTCGTCGCTTACCTTAAGTGGCTCTGAAAGGCATCCGAACCTTCGAAGGGTTTTCCTTTAAGCTGCACGCTGCACGCGGTGAGTCATCCTGCAGAACTCACAAGCAGTTTCACAAATACCAGATGGCAATAAAATTAAAAGTAGTAGCTAGTGGCAATTAAGCATTTGCTATAACCATTCTCCCTTCCCGACTGTATGAAGCTGCCAAATGTCTCTTTTTTTTTTTCTTTTTTTTTTTTCCCTTGACTGAAAAAAAAAAACCAAACCCAAATGATGTTTCTGCAGAGTGGAAAATTAACAGAATACAGGACGCACGCTTCCTTCCGTAGCCCGTAGTCCTGGTTGGACTTGAGTGGAAAGCTACTTGCTGTATTTCGTACATCTGTAGGAGAAGACGGACCAGAAAAATCATGCAAGAAAGCAAAATTTGGGGCATTGTATGGGCACATGCAAACAGTATTTCAGCAGCGACCCTGTAAACCCCCAAACCAGTCGCTTCTATGCTCGCAGGGTGTACAGCTCTTTAAACACAGCTATATTCAGACATGCTACAGAGCTGCTGGGACTTAGTTTGGATTTTGTTTTGTTTTGTTTTTATACTGCAGGCTGTTGCAAAGGATTTGCTCCACAAACTTGGAAATAGTTTTGAGTTCGTTAACGTAGGAAGCGTGTCCAAATACCATTGTGTTTGGCTCAGTATAAATAACAATGACTGCTCCCCTTCCTTTTCAGTGACTCTTGCTGCTTGGCATGTCTTGGACCTATCAGTGATACACAAATAGTTATTAGCTTTTCCAAATACTCTCCTTCGGCCCTTCCTTCCGACGTATTACACATCCAGCATGCTTCATCCATTCGGTTATTTACAAGTCACATGCGATGTGACCTTGCCAAGATTTTTTAGAGATAAATCTCTCTGAATTTATGCATACCTGGCCAAGAAGGACTTTTTCATGATTCATGTCGCAGTAAGAAGCACAAATCTACTTCTTCCTAACATGTAAACAACACAACATGTGATTTTTTTTGTATTTCCCCCTATCATAATGGATAATTAGTGTCTTATTTATAGCGAATCATATTAAAGTGATCTTATCATTATTAGTTTTCACATGGTGCTTTAAGAAATCCTAAGATGTTTTCATGCTGCGTTTGGCACAGATGAAGAAAGGGTGAGGCCAAACCAGCTCCACATCACTGCTGTCCCAAATTTTGGCGTTTCTAGCCCGGTCCTGGCAAAGAGAGAAGCGTCGGGGGCCGTTGGTGCATTGCAGCAGCTGAGGAGCCCTGGCTGGAGGATGCGAGAGCAAAAGGAAAACCAGGGCAGGTATAGGGGGGTTTAAGTCCACAGTTTCTCTTCAGAAGGGGGTTTAAATCCACAGTTTCTCTTCGGAAGATCTCCTCCTAAATGCTAATCTGGTGCCAGCGAGTATTTCGTGTTGTCTATGGTGTAGCACCTCCTAGCGTGCTGTGCAACCTCTTTCTTAAAACACACTTCGATTCCCCCAGGACACGAAGGCAGCAAATGCAACAGCTTCTGAAAAGAATTATGCGACCGGTAGAAAGACCAGAATTAGTGGGTATTCAGATAACCTGATAAACGGAAAGGAGTCGGGAGAAATCTTCCCTGGAAGACCTGTTGAAGTCTCTTGAGTACATCCTCAAACGCGTGGGTGGGGAGAACCAGGTGCTACAGTCTACTTGAATTTCCAGGCGCCTTTTTCAGGATAAGCAGTCTCTATTTGTGGAAAGCAGGCGCAGATTAAGAGGGTAGTATGCAGCCTGGACAAATAACAGCGTAAGTGGAAGCCTGCAGGGATCTTCACCCCTCAGCATACCCACGAGTGAGCAAAATTTTGGCAAGTTAAAACCCGAGTTAAAAAACAATAGGTGTTTTGGTGGTACTTGAGTTATTGAAGTCTGTACCGGCTAGGCAGAGAGTTGTCCTAAAGATTCCCACGGTAGGGAACAGATTTGTTTGTGATCCTGTTTTGCTTTGTTTCTCCTTACTCATCGCCGCCTTGCCTCCTGTGCTGGCGGGCCAGCAGGTTTTCCTGGAACAGGTCATGCGTCTGGCACCGAGCTGGGGCACTATCTACTAGGCAAAAGGGACCGTATGCCTGTCAGACAGCCCCAAAATGACTTTTGTTTAAGGAATACCAGTGATGCAAAGAATTACAGTGATTGTCACTGTGCAGGTAAATACTGAAACACCAAAACACTGACGGACTTCTCCCAGATCACGTATGGTTTCTGCGAGAAGCACAGAACTGAAGACGTGCCGGCAGTTCCCAAGCAGGAACTGCTTTGAAATCCCTTTGCTTTGAGGTTAAGATCATAACGATGAAACGTTTATCTTAATGGGAGCCACGCACTGCTCCTAGAGCAGCAGAAGAGCCCGGCTCACCCGTCACAGGCTGCAGATGAGGAGCTGTGTGTCCTCCGTCTGCTCATCTGGCAGATGGTTCAAATGCCAGTCCTTCAAATATCCGTCTGGGCTTTTGCTCGCCGCTTGCTGAACAGGAACTTGAGATGTTTGTTGCACTGTATCTTGTCCCTGGTGTGATCTAATTCCTTAATCCATCTTTCCTTTCTATGTTTCAGCTTTTGAAGTCTCCTGGAGTGCTGTGGCCCCAACCTCTGCAGGATGGACCCTGTTGTTCTCAGTTACATGGACAGTTTGCTGAGGCAGTCGGACGTTGCCTTGCTGGAGCCCCCAAACTGGCTTAACGATCACATCATCGGCTTTGCCTTTGAGTACTTTGCCAACCACCAGTTCCAAGAATTTAGCGATCAGGTTTGTTTCATCAGCCCCGAAGTGGCTCAGTTCATTAAATGTGCCCTTAGTCAGGAAGAAATAGCCATATTCCTGCAACCGCTGGACCTTCTCCACAAGAACCTGGTGTTCCTGCCTATCAATGATAACTCCAACCAGGTCGCTGGGGGCACCCACTGGAGCTTGCTGGTTTATTTCAGGGACAAAAAGTGCTTCGCCCATTACGATTCCCACAGTAAATGCAACTCTGTCCACGCCAAGCAAGTGGCGGGGAAGCTGGAGGCCTTCTTGGGCAAGAGAGGGGGCAAAGCAACCTTCGTGGAGGAGAAGGCGCCTGCCCAGCAGAACAGCTATGACTGTGGGATGTACGTGATCTGCAACGCAGAGGCTCTCTGTCAGGGATACTTCAGGGGCCGGCCGGAGCCTTTGCTGCAGCTCCTCACCCCCTCCTACATCACGCAGAAGAGATCGGAGTGGAAAGCCCTCATCACGAAACTGGCACAGAAGTGATCGAGGTACAGCTCCAGCCCGCTCCAAAAAAACTGCCTTCCCCGCCCGTGAGGCAGCACCCCCAGTGCCTGAGGGAGATGCCCATGCGCAGGATTGTCCCAAAGAAGAAGAATGTAACCCCTCCAGCATGGCTACACCCCCGCCCCCAAACACCCTCTTCCCTCCTGGAAAAGCCTTAGTCCCTTCTGGAAATCACTGGCCTTTGAACTTCTGATGAGAAAAGTCACTTTGCTTTCAAAGAAATCCTCCTCTCAATGGTGAATTTTTACACTAATTGCTGTGGCAAACCGGGTTGCTAAAGAGACTTTTCTGCCTTTGCCCAGCAGGTGACACGCCCTCGTTAGGTGGCTTTAATTGGCTACAAGCATTGCTGTTCCAAGCCAGGTTTGGCAAACGCCCCTTTAAAACCAAGCCCCCAAATGCTTTATCCTGGCTATTTCTAATTTGTGCCTCCCGCTAGCGGTGTTTGAGCAGTCCGGGAGCAGCAAGGATTTTTTACCCCTGAAAACCTGACACCGAGACGTCCGTGTCAAAAGAGCAAACTCCAAAGGAAACGCTACGATTAATTAAAGAACGGGGCAAAAAGAAAATCAGTTTGCTGCAGATAGGTGCTCCTAAGCTGAACGGCGATAGCTTTTTGGGGTTTTTTTTGTCCCCCACCCTTGCTTGCTCTTATTACAAATTACAACCTGACTCTGAACTGCTGGAAGATTAATAGGAAGCTGAGAAACCCAATCCTAGGAAAGGAAACTTAACTGAGATGAAAAGTGACACTCACTCTTTGAAGTTGGGGGTTCGTTTTTTCATTGTGATTTTAGGTTGTCTCCATTCAGGGAGGGTTCGTCAGCGCTCCCCAACCCTCGTTAGTGTTCGCTGTGCTCAGAGCCTACAAGGCGGACGCTGCTTCCTCTAACGCTAAACCAGTTCTGTTACTCGAGATAAAACACACACGGGGAGAACAAAAGGACAGAGTTTGAGGTATAAAAGCCAAAGATAACTGCAGTCTCCTTGAAGCCCAAGAATTCCTTAATACACTTCTAATCGAAACGCGTTTCCTCCTGTGCTGGATGCCGGCTGGGATCTCAGAGCCTATCCTCTCATTAAAAGACGGGCTTAGCAGTGGAGGGAAATAAAAACGAAAACAAGACGTTGTTGCAGGATAAGAAGTAATCTCTAACCGCAGGAGAAGCGAAGCGCAGGTTGCTCAGGTGGTGCGTAGCAGAGCAACCACACCCCAGCGCCCCACCTGGATCAGGGAAATCCAGGTTAAATATCCCCCTCGGAAAAGGGGGAAGGATTATTTTGAACCCGGAGCTCTTCACCCATCTCATCAGCCCCACCGGTGCATTTACCAGCACAGCACCGAGGGTGACGAACTGTAGCAAGGTCCTAAACTTCCCTTGTTGCGGGGAGGAATAGCCACAGCCCAGGCTCTCCCAAAACACCCAAGTAAACGCACATGGACAGTGGAGGGGCAAAATGAGGGTCGGGGTCGTTCCCGTCCTTCCTAGGTTGCCCAGAGCAGCCAGCGGGCCAGGGCATCCCTCTGAGCACCAGCCCTCCCTGGAAAACCCCTTCCACTGCTCCGATGGTGCCAAAATGGCATTGAGCCACTCGCCAAAGGGGATTCACGTGGGGCTTCACCGGAGCAACATCACTGCCAGAGCGGGAGGCTGCCTTTCTCCCAGGTCGGGAATAAAACTCAAACCAAACCGTGCACTTGTCGGCGTCGTCCCGTCTCTCGTGTCGGTACCCGCTAATAAGCGGTGGCTCCCACTGCCCCACGGTTTCTTGTGCGATGGTGTTGCGGCTGTCAGGGTTGTGACTCGTGGGCAGAGCCTCACATCTCCCAGCGGTTTTGCAGCCTCTTTGTGCCCTGCAAGGGGTGAAACCACGCAGAAACTGGTCTTGGAGAGCCAGCGAGCCTGGGGACAACTCCGCCAGTGCCTTGTGCGATAGTGGGGAGACCACAGGGGCTGATTTAATCTCCTAATCCTATTTTTAAGGGTCAGTTGGGGCTGGGGAGGAGCGTGGGCAGAGGGGAGGTAGGAAGGCATGATGGTGGGTGCGACGGGGGAAGCACTGGAGGAACTCGAGGGCAGGGGCTGTGCTCATCCAGGGGGCACCCCGTGCTCCTCGTCCCCGAGGGACGGGGCAGGGCTGCCCAAGCCATCAAGGTGAGCACCCAGCGACGTTTCCTGCACCCGAGGCTTTTACGTGGCATTTCTTTACACAAAAGAAAAGCAAATAAGCTCAAGAAGGGCGTCACCGGGAGAGCAAACACACACCGGCCAGGGTGGCAAACACCAGCTGAAAAACGAAACCAGAGCCTTGCAACATGCTCCCAGCAGCAGGGACCCCCCCAAGCCACCCCAGGGCTTGCCCCGGGCTCCTCCAAACCTCCAGATCAGCCAACTGCACCCATGGGTTGTCCCACCGCTGGCTTTAACCAAAGAGCCCCAAGAGGAGCTGAGGTGACCGTCACCACTGTCACAGAGCTGGCCCGGGCTCAGCATGGGGACAAGGGACACCCACGCACCTGCTTTGTATTGGGTGCTGTGCAGCACCCAAAAACCACACCAGGCTGGGCACAGGAGACCAAAAAAACCCAAATCCTAAACCTCATTTTTGGGGCCATAAGCCCCACTTTGAGCTTGAACCTGTTGAGCACCAACTTGGTTTTTTTTTAAAAAAAAAACAATCCCAAACCCTTCAAACCCATTTCGGCAGCTGCACCAGCAAAACGAGATGGGCAAGTCCCCGGTGGGGATGGGTCAGCAGCGGGACGGCGCCTTTCACCTGCCAGGTCACCCACACAGATCAGAGGCTCTGATGGCCCCGTCACACCGGGGCTTTCAAGAAGCAGCTTCGACAGTTTGGCTGGGAACATGGCCAAACCGCAGACACCCCCTCCCTGGCACCGCAGGGTGCCAAATCTCCCCAAAAAACGGGGTGACAAGCTTAAATCCAGCAATGGTGGTGACGCCGTTGTGGGGTGACACTATCCCGGTCCCCATTTAGCCAACACCATTCCATTGTAGTCTTCAATATGAGCCATTTTCATGCATTTTGCTGCGTGGCCCAGGCTGGCGCGGGGAATTTGGGTTGCTCAGGGAGGAGGAGGAGGAAACGAAGGAGGAGGAGGAAGGCTCACCCTGCCCCAGCAGGTTGGGGCTGCAGCTCAGCACCCTCCCTTAAGCATCCACTGTCCCCAGGGTGGCTCTGCCACCAGCTGGAGCATCACATCCCACAGTCTCTGCTGCCATCTAGTGAAAAAACATCTCCATCCCCTACACCCAGAGCATCCCTGGCCCTGGGTATCCTCCAAAAGTCCCCATGGTCCTCCTGCCTGAGCCAAGGCTGCACCCCCAGCCTGCTGTATGTCACCCTGCTGTGGAGAAACAATGCTGAGCACCCACCAGCATGCCCGATGGGGTGTGACACTGGGGGCCATGCAGCCCCCAGGTCCACCAGCACTGTCCCAAAGGGAGGAGAAGGCGATGCCATCCGTCCCCAAGCCCACACAAGGACAGGTCTGTCCCCACGAAATCCACGTCCTGGAGACACGGAGAGCGAAGGGGCACTGGGACAGCACAGATTCTGCGGTACCCCATTTCAGGGCTCGGAGCCCGGCCCCGCCGCAAGGATGCTGGCAGCACACAGGGACGTGCTAGAAAATCCTGGTTTTATTTTCATTTAAAAGCCATTCCGAGCCTGGAGCGAGCAGCAAGCTCTTCCCCAGGGCTCAGGGATTTGGCCCCATCAGCACTTGTAGTTCCCAAAAAATAGGAAAGAAAAACCACAATATATCACACCTGCCGCCCCAGCGCGCTCCCGGAGGAGGATGTGGGATAAATCCTGTGGCACTCGGCTCTGCGTGGTGACAAGGATAACACAAACCAGAGTACAGACACGTTCCGATCAGCGACGTTCACTGGTGACAGCTACGGGCTCCTTTCGGGACATCTTAACGAGGCAAGTGGGCCTAACGAAGCCCTGGTCCAGCACCATTCCCAGGTGCGGTCCCCAGCAAGGACGCCTGGTCTGGGGGACCCTAAAGTGCTTTGCAGACACACACACACACACACACGCACCCCGAGGTGCCCCGGTGCTCCAGGAGAGACGGGCTGGGGGCCCGTACGGAGCCCAGCGGAGCTGGGGGGGCCCCGGGCTGTACCCCCACCCTTGAGTGCTGGGGGAGCTGATGCCCCATCCCTGCAGACTGCCGGGGTTGAGGCCATTCCTCCAGCGGCAGCCCTGGGGGTACCGAGAGGGGGACGAACAGGCGGGTTCAGCCCAGAGCCACTGCCCGGGCTTCACCCAGAGCAGCAGCAACTCATCCACATTTTCGGGGGTTCCCGGTTGAGCCTAAGGTCATCTTTTAGCAAGAAAAACCCAAGTCTGGAATAAAAAACGGCACCCGTTTTAGCAGCAAGTCCAAAGTGAAGGTCCAACCGCTCGGCAGCCCCGAGCCATCATCCAATGTTACGGCGCAGCAGCGTCCTGGGGACAAAACAGGTTTCCAGTGGGACAGGGAGTTGGCACCGGTGGCCGTGAGCCGGCCAGGCGGTCCTGCCGGGAGCAGGTGCCGGTAGGAAGAGAGAAGATGCTTGGTCCCATTTTAATGGCCGAGGGAGAGCCAGGCCATGGGCAACGGCTGTGGCCGGGAGGACGCAGCACCGGGATCCATAGGCAGGGCGCCACGGTCTCGGCGTCCATCCTCAGCCAGTGCTGGGGGTAATGGTCACCTGCAAGCAGAGGGCAGCGTAAGTCAGGGTGAGCGGCTGTGGAGGCACCGTCCCCCAGCCCTGTGCCCAGGTCCCATGGGCATGAGGAAGGAGACTCCCCGATGTCCCCAACCTGAGGGAACCCACTCCTGTCCATCCCTGGCTGATGCCCGCAAGTGGCATTAGCCCCATGGCGCAGCCCAGCTCCACCTTGGTGCTTTCTACAACCAGGGAACCGGACCCAAACCCACAAGGGAAGTTTTTCCCCCGAGG